AACCATAACAAAATAATCTAACTATAACAAACTAATCTAACCATGGTTTAATTCTAACAGCCTAACTACTTGAAACAGTTATGCTAGTACTGCACCCTTGGCTGGTTTTGCTGCAGCTGGTACTGCTGCGGCTGCGGCTGGGTCTGGCTTATGCTCTGTGGGCTCTATGTGCTCTGGCTTATCAGCACTCTCTCTCCATTGAATCAGTAGAAATCCACCTTCCATCCTTGCCTGAGCTTCCTCCTCACTACCACACCACCAATGGCCTCCTAGTCCATCTCAATTCCACCCTCCAAAAAGCCTTTAAGATGGCAAGCCCAAGCTTCTCCAACATCTTCAACACACTAAGCCCAGACCTCATTTATGACTACGACCTGCCTTGGGCACCAACCATTGCCTCCTCCTATAATATTTCCGCTGTTGATTTCATACCTATCGGTGCTACGATGATGTCTTTCTCCCTTCACAAGTTAATGAAAAGCAGTGTTGAATTCCCATTTCAAGCAATTCAGTTTTGGGGATTCCATGAAATGCAGTTTCACAATTCGATGATCAAGACTGCTGCAAACAAAGCCAAAAACAAAGTGTGAGCTATAGATGCCATGAAACTATAGAAAAAATAACGCCCGAATAGTACACATTAATATTGCCATGAAACGATCTTGCAACATTATTTTGTTCCACACTTTCAGAGAGCTTGAAGGAAAATATATTGATTATCTGCCGGTTTTTATTGAGAAAAAGATTGTCCCTGTTGGTTCACTTGTTTGAGACATTGACAATGAGGACGAGCACACTGAGATCATGGAATGACTTGACAACAAAGATGAGTCCTCAACTGTGTTTGTTTCCTTTGGGAATGAGAATTTTATGTCCAAGGAAGAGATTGAAGAGATAGCTCATGGGTTAGAGCTTAGCAAGGTTAATTTCATATGGGTCCTATGGGAGAGAAAGTTGAGCATGAAGAAGCACTGCCTAAGGGGTTTATCGAGAGGGTAGGAGAGAGAGGACGTTGTGGAGCGTTGGGGTCCACAAGCAAGAATTCTGGCCCATTCAAGCACTGGTGGCTTTGTGAGTCACAATGGATGTAATTCAATAATGGAAAGTTTAAAATTTGGGGTTGCAATTGTAGCCATTCCAATGCATTTGGACCAGCCAACAAATGCTAGACTGGTCGAGGAGACTAGTGTGGCTGTAGAGGTCAACAGAGACATCAATGGAAGACTTAATAGAGAAGAGATAGCACAACTAATAAGGAAGGTTGTGGATGAGAAAAGTGGTGAAGGTTTAAGAATTAAAGCAAGAGAATTTAGTGAGAAGATAAGAATGAAAGGAGAGGAAGAGATAGATGAGCTGGTAGAAGAGTTGCTTCAACTTTGTAAGTTGAAATATGCAAAAGTAGAAGAATATCGAAGTTTTCAATGACTAATTTTTCTCTTATATCAGTTATTTCACTCTGTAGCACTATTGTTGAAATATTTTGATGATCATCAGCACTTTAATGATGCTTTGTTATGATTTGTTACGTTATATTTGTAAGAACAATTTTCATTGCTAAATGTTTCCAAAGACTAAATAGGGATGACAAGGGTTACTTACTTGTGGTGCTTATTTTCTGAATTTGTTGAGATCAGTAAAGCCAATTGGGCTGAGATAAGACTTTTCAATTTGTAAGAGGGTGTATATGTCTGCCGGCATAGATTATAGATGTTTGTTGGTGTCTGAAGTTTGACTGTAATTTAAGTTGTATTTGTATGAAGCTAATAAGATGTTTGTTGTAGCTTACCACAAATTTAGTACTATTGACAATTGATGATGTGAATTGAGAAAGAGAATTAATGATGTTTATTTATACTGTATATTTATTTTCTCGATTCACACCATCAATTCTCAATAATACTAAAATATTCTCATCTTCTCAAATTTTCAAAATCTAAACCCTAGCCATCTGCAATTTGTAGTTGCTGCAGTGTTCTCCAAAAATATAATGTGTTTGAGGAACACTAAGGCCAAGTTTGGGTACTTCTAAAAAAGTCAAAAAGCCAAAAAGTTACTCAAAAAGTTAAAAAGTTAACACTATTCACCAAAAGTCAACAATTACCGCTGCACAACTCCCAATTCAAATTTTTCCCTATTTATTTATACTGTATATTTATTTTCTCGATTCACACCATCAATTCTCAATAATACTAAAATATTCTCATCTTCTCAAATTTTCAAAATCTAAACCCTAGCCATCTGCAATTTGTAGTTGCTGCAGTGTTCTCCAAAAATATAATGTGTTTGAGGAACACTAATATAATTAGAAAACTATAAAAATATATGTACTGAAGTAAATAGAGTTGTCGCAACTTAATTTAGCCACATTTTTTAGTTCAGAATGAACTTAAAAAGTACTTTTTCCTAATTTTTTTTAAAATTTTTTTAGTGTTTTTTTATCACTTAAAATAAAAGCTAACTATTTTTTTATCTTTAGTAAACTTTGTTTTAAATTTTTCTTTTAATTCTTAATTTTTTTATTTGTCTAATTAAGTAAAACTTAAAAACGTAAAACCTTTTGAAATTTTCAACAAAAAAAAAAAAAAATCATTAAAAATTGAAAAAACTAAAAAAAAAAAGGTCACTAAATATACCAATCCCAATTTTTTATAACAAAAGTTGTAGAAATTGATTATCTAAAATCAGTGCTAGAGTTTGGGGACAACATATTTTAGTTAAAGAACCCGGCTCCTCAGCAGTTTTTAAGTAAACTGGACTGGATAGTCAAAATAATAGGATGGCGACATGTCATCGAAATTGGAAACTAATGGCTCTGATTAAATTAGACACTCACAAGCTCTTTGAAAGATCTAAACGACATCGTCTTTTACAACCGTCAATGTTAACACCGTCTCTGTGGAATTTTCATGTTTCGGAATTGGGGTCACTGCTGTGCCTTTGGCACAGGAGTGACTGTTGTGCCTCATTTTGTGGTGCATTATGGATTTATTTTTATAATCTGAACCGTTCATATTGTAAGGTTTGTTGAGTACTTCATGTCTACCAAAAATCATATTAATCGGATACCAATAACTATATGATTGATAACCAAAAAAATAAACAGGAAGTTTTTCTTTTGAAAAATAGTATAAAAATATGCAATTCGATCATATAGTTATTGATATCCGATTAATATGATTTTTGGTAGGCTTGAAGTACTCAACAAATCCTACAAAATGACGGTTCAGATCATAAAAATAAGCCCATAATGTATTTCAAAATGAGGCACAACAGTCACTGTTGTGCCAAAGGCACAGCAGTGACCCCAAGTCCTCATGTTTCTCATTGAAATCCCTAACTCTCTCTCCCTACCCTCCCTCCCTCTCTTTCTCTCTCTTTACCTCTCTCTCTCTCTATATATATGTATATATATATATATATATATGAGTTTACCACACCAACAAGCACTTGTCCTAGGCAAAGGCGAAGAAATAACAACAATACGTGGTCAAAGAACTGAGGCTCCGCATGGGTAAGCTCAAAACCATTAGAATTCAGATCAATTCAATCTAGGGTTTCAAATTTCTTATTCAAAATATGTATATTATGGCCCCGTTTGGTAGAGTTGTGAAAAAGTGATTATAACTTATAATTTAACAGCTTATAGCTTATAACTGTGAACATAAGCTGATTTTTGACTTATAAATTAAGTTTCTCCTCCCCCACTCAAAGAATAAGTTGATTTTTGACTTACAAAAAGTTATAAGTTGTATTGTTAAACTGAACCAAACACATCAAAATAACTTAAATTAAGCTAAAAACTGAAATAAGCTGGAAATAAGCCTTACCAAACAGGGCCTATGTATGTGTGATTTGTGTGCTTGAATCGGGATTCATTGATGTAAAGGTTCATGAAGTTTTGTTTCCAATTGTTAATTACTACAATTTGATAGTGTTTCTGCAGAGTTTGACATTGTCGCATTTTCTTCTTTTGCTGAACTATGCTGAACCTCCAATTACTTTTTGATTGGAAGTTGAAATTTTGCGGGGAAAAAAAAGTCTCAACATGGCTTTCTCTATCCTTCTGGCTTGCATGTTAAATTTTTGCTCTGTTTTTATCAAGTACTATGGGTGTTTCCAGTCCTGAGGTATGGACACCATATCCACACCCTGTATGGTGCTTCATATGATTCTTTTGTATACGTATCGGGTACTTGAAACAAGTATTTAATTAATTTTTTTCTATTCATTTTTTACCGTACTCAAACGAATTAATATATATCCAAATTGTATCTCAGTCGAAATAGTATTTTATTCTAATAGAGAAATAAAGTTTCTTTAATTAGAATTCAAATTTTTATTTACATGATATTTTTTTTAATTATTTCTATCAGGTTGTAAAAGATGGAGGTTGAGTTCTCCTATTGAGTGGGTTCCAACTTTCAAGGATTTTAGAACTTGTGGAAGGAAGCTGTTGATAAACAACCTAAGGATAATCATCCATGATGCATCTGGGACTTACTTCATGCTCTTCATTACCCATCATTGCTACTATACAAGTGGGATACAATTTAGTGTCTTTTGGATTGTATTTTGTGGATGAATTTAAGTCATTGAAAGGGGTTGGAGAATGTAAGGAAATGTACTGTACACTTGAATAGTTAAATGAACATCTTATAAAAATTCAAATATTTCATCACTTGCATTATTTTGGACCCTTTTGATTTAACTGAATATTTTCTTGTGCTCATTATAGATTTACAAAGCATTTTTCTCATTTACAGTTCACATGAAAAGTGCAAAATTACTAGAAAAAATATTGTTCACATAACACTGAAGAGTCAAATAAATTATTTATAAAATTCTGCAAAAAAAAAAAAATAAATAAATAAAAAATTGCATAAAAGGAATAACAATTGTACTTCTACCTCAAAAGAAATTGTAAAGGATGAAACCACTAAAACAATTCCACTAATCAATTACTGGAACTAAAGAAGCATTAACAAATGAAGAACATAGGGTCATTTTGTTTCAACGCATAGTACTTCTAGATCCTTGAGAATCTTGAAATGAAGAACAAAGCATAGAACTGGGCATCTAAACTCCCTGCAATAGAATAATAATTGAAGATATTAAACAATAGTGCAATCTTGAAATGAATAATATAAATGGAAAATTAGATAATATTTTTTTTACCATTTACAATTGAGTGAATGAAGAATCGTTCCAAGCTTGAGGTGTTTCTGGAATCATGCATGCCATGGAACTAGACATCCCAACACCCTGCAAATGAAGAATACTAATATAAATTAAGTTTTAATTTCATCTTAAATGATCACAACAACAAGACATTTCTACCTGTAATGAACAATCTGATAGTGGAGGATAAGTAGTATCTGCAAAAGTAGAAGATGAGTGAGGGGTTGATTGAGGTTCCAACATTTGTCTGCTTTTCTTGCTCTTTGCTTGCAACTCAACCCAACTCTTAGGCCTTTTTCTTGGCCTACTTTTCCCCAAACCCTCCTTTTTCTTTAACCCCTTTGCTCCTAAGGTATGTAAGTTATGAGGTTGATTTTTGTCCAAAACTTCTTCGCATGATTTCGATGAAAAAGGTGCATGAGTTTCACTTGCTTGTTGGCCAACACTAGGTTGTCGACTTAATATATCATCAATCTTTTTTGCCATCTCAACTGTAAATTTTGCAAGCATGTCCGTCGTTTCTAAACTTTCAGCTGCATGACAACCCAACTTAATCAAATTGGGGCATAACATCCTATAACGAAAATTCACATCCAAATCAACCGCTGTATGTGTATTTATACACCTATTAATGTCCTGTACTATTCCATTTTTTGCTTTCTTAGCCCATCTCTTCAGTAAGTATTGTTTTGGTATATCCTTGATGTTCATCATGTCAAGACCTTTCAAAGCATGGGCACACAAAATTCCACAACTCTCAAACAATTTACAAGTACATGACACCGTTGGGCCTTGTAAGTTGACTTTAACTTCACGAACTTTAGGCTTATCAAGCACTTTCACCATACAATCATGTGAAAGGTTGCTTTCATCCTGTTTCCAAGCAAAAGCAGACAGGCTTTTCAAAATTTTTTCTTTAAATATCTCAAAAATTGGGTTTGTATAAAAATCTCCTACATTAATCAACAAGGGAATGGGCAAGCCAATTTTTGGCAACTTCTGACGAGAAGCATACTCACAATCAAACTCAATATGAGTAATATCATCAATAACCCTCTCAAAATGCTTGAAGAAATACAATATCCCCAAATCTGATTGTAAGAAAGTACGTAGTTTACCATTGAAGCTTTCGCTAACTTGCGTGGTATCTGCCCAAGCTGATCAAACTTCTATGACATATGGTTTTCCCCATTTTTCTCTAACCCTATATATAGTAGGCAACCAACTATTATCACGAACATCAAATTTATCAAGCATGTCTTCCCAAGCACTAGAGAAACTTTCCTCATCTTCATAATTGTAAATAAATTTAGCAAGCTCTGCACCAATCCCACCATCATCACCTCTATATTTGCTTCCTAAATGCTTAATTGCATTTCGTCTCATATGCCATGTGCATATTCTATGGAACGTATTAGGCATAACTAGTGAGATAGCCTTTGTCATTGCAGGGTCTTGATCAGTGAAAATGGTCTTTGGTTGCTTCCCTGACATAGCATCTAAGAAACTTTTAAATAACCACTCGAAAGAGGCAATTGTTTCATCATATAGAAGTGCAGCCCCAAATATAACAGTCTTCCTATAATTGTTAAACCCTACAAACACCGCTAGTGGCCGATAGTCCTTGTGGGTTCTGTATGTTGTGTCAAAACTCACAAAATCCCCAAATAAACTGTAGTCAATTATCATTTTCGGGTCAGCCCAAAAGATGTTAGTAATTTGTTCTCCAACATCTAGCTGCACAGTGAAGTGAAAAGATGAATCCTTCATTGATTTGTCTGCAAAATATGCTAACAAACTTCCAGCTTCTCCAAACTTCAATTCCTTCTGATGTTTTGTCCGAAGATAATTTTTTAAGTCCTGACGTGTAAAACCAAGACATTCCCTTCCACCTGCCTATCGAGATGCAAGCTTAAATGTCGATCTCAATCTAATCCCAGATGCCTCTGCCAAATCAGCTGCAATTGCTTGAGCTTTTGCAATTTTTCTTTGTGAAGGCATTAAATGGACACATCCTGGAATATGAAGTGGGTGATTGTGGTCCTCAACAAAATCAATAACCACATAGTTTTGTCTATTTTTGTTGAATGAAACACTCATACGCTCCTTGCAACCAGTTCTTGTTTCTTGGTGTGAATTTTTAGTTTTATCATCTCTCTTGTCTTCACGTCGAAACCTTTCTTTCGAACATACAAACCTCCTAGAAGTGATCCTTCCTGTTTTCTTACATGCGTTAGTATATTCCATTCGAAGACTAAAACCAGTAATCTGCCCAAACTCATTGTAGAAATCTTTTGCAGCATCTAGTGAATCAAATTCCAAACCCATTTGAGGTTTGTAATCTAGAATTGTGAGACTTGAAGATATAGCTTCACACATTTGTTAGAATTTCCCATCTTTACCTTCACCTACTCCACTACACACTCCACTTCACCTACCTCCACTTCACTACACCTGCTTGACACAAGAAACATCATTAGTACGAAGGAAAATAAATTCTAAATACATCATGTTTAATAATTAAAAAGATCCAAAAAGTAAAAACATTAATTAAAAAAATATCAAAAAATCAGTAAGAACATAAACAAAAAATGAAAAGTGCATAAAAACACAAATCAATTTTTTCAATAACAAAAAAATATCTATATATATATATTTTTTTTTTCAACCTTTTAATATGCGTATACATGAGTGTCTATGTACATAAACATATCTACGATGGACATAATTTATTTTCAACATGAGATTAGTGATTTGAATATTTTTATTTGTGAAGGGTTAATATGTCTATACATGAGCGTCTATATACATAAACATATCTACAATGAACATAATTCATATTCAACTTGAGATTAATGATTTGAATCTTTTTATTTGTGTATAGTCCTAGTCTCCATATATATATATATATATTGAGAGTTTTATCTTTGACTTTGAAGATTTTGATCTTTATCAGTGTGCTTGTAACTCGTACAATTTTATTATAATATTATATATAAATCAAATAATAATAAATAAATAAAATGATAATATGTGCATCATACCTTTTCTTATTCTTTATACCTGCTGGTAGCATACTTTCAATCAACTAAGCTACAAAGAGAAAAAGCAGAGGACACGGGTTTTGATGGTTGACCATCAAAAACTCCAATTATCATTGATTTGCTCATTTCTTTGACATACAGGAAGAATCTTTGGTTGAAAGAAAAAATCAATGGGAGTGCTTGCGGCAAAGGAAATCAAATCCCCAAAGGAATTTGCGCCCAAATCAGATCTTTGAAAATCCCATAGAGACGGTGTTAACGTTGACGGCTGTAAAGGACGATGTCGTTTAGATCTTCCAAAGAGCTTGTGAGTGTCTAATTTAATCTGAATCATTAGTTTCCAATTTTGATGACGTGTCACCATCCTATTACTTTGACTGTCCAGCCCAGTTTGCTTTAAAGCTGCAGAGGAGCCGGGTCCGTAGTAAAGTCAAAAAGTCACTAAACTTGTCATATCACTCTCTACTTTTGTAAAAATTTAAAAAATTATTAAAATAACTTGTTTCCAAATGAAAACGGTTAGCAGGAGAGTAAATTCAACTACCACATAAAAAAATAAAAATTAAAATACAAAAATTAAAAGCATTACACCACTACAGGCCTCTCTCAATTATTTGGTTATCTAACGTCTCGTCACTACAAGAAAATTAGCTTATAACCACGCTTTTGTTATGGCGTTTTTTTAAAAAACGTCGTTTTAAAGGTTTTCAAAATATTTTTGTAAATAACTCATTTTAAAAAACACGCGTGCTTTGGTGTACGAACATGTTTTCCCTTTTAAGACCCACGCGTTTTTCATTCTTCTATTCTATTTTACGCAGCAATTGATAGATCTAGGTTTTCTATCTCTTCATCACTCCTCTTTCTTATGGTGAAAGGTCACTAGATCGAGCTTTGTAGGCTCCGATTCACGATTTGGTTTTCTCCATCTTGGCTCAAAGCTCTCAATCAGTCCGATTTGAAAATTAATTTTGTGAGTCCTCTAATTTTTTTTCATTTTGTTTATATACAAACTTAGATCTACGATCTCAAATCTGTTTGTTATATATATATACTAATTTATGTCTATTGATCACGATCGATTTTTATTCTATTGATCGATTTTTAGGCAAATCTCGATTGATTGATTTTTAATTTATTGATCGCGATCGAACACTCTTCTCTGGACTTGATCGATTGATTGCTTTTGTTCAGATCTGTAAGTTTGAGTCCCTATGCGCATATTAACATCCTCAAACCGACTCTATTTCTGACTCGTTTGTGGTGATCTTTACGTTTGTGCTTTGTATGCAATTCTAGGGTTAGTCTATTGAGGCTAATATCTATTGCGTTTGTGTACAGAGTCATAGAACCACCATCACAACCATACTGTGTCAATCTTTGCAGCAGCAATGTCTCTCTTCCTCACAATGGGTTTTGTGCACTGCAGACACCTGATTTCCACTTTGGTGAGTCTTCTTTGATTCCCTCCTTCCTTACCTTGCTTATGATCTGTCTGGCCCTGTCGTTTGTGCATTTGGGTTTTTCTACTACTTTCCATAAATTTTAATGTCTTCAAAAGCCATGTATCTATGTGTTTGTTTATATGTGCATCAAAATTTTATTGGATTTTATCTTATGGACCCGCAAAGTACTTAGACTGACCAAAATTTGAGTTTATGTTCTGCAGCTCTAATAACAAATAGGAGGAAAACCTTGGAAGAGGTAGAAAGATAGGCTAAAATTTGAGTTTATGATAGGCCAAAATTATTGACAAAATTATTGTTAAGATGATGGGTAGAAAGATTTACTTATCCTGTCTGCAGTAGTTATATAAATAGAATCAAACGATGGTTTGAGTTGGGACCAATTTAAAATTTAGTCTGTCTATTGGTTAATTTGGGTATTGACTTAAATTTGATTTTTTCCAGCAGTGACCTCTCCAGAGGTGACGTATAACTGTCGGATACGGACACACTCCAAACACGTGTCGGACATGTTGAAGACATGCTGAGAACACACTGGGACACCCCGAGGGCCATTTAAAAAAAATAATTAAAAATGAACTTGTGTTTACTATAATAGTATACCAAAGGTTGATAAATTTCGTAAAATTAAATATTTGACTTAAAATAATTATTAAATATTTAAAAATATGACACATAATAAATATATAAAATCATATCTTTCGCACATGTCTCTAACGCGTCGTGTCCTAAATTTTTTGAAATTTGCGTGTCCTTATCTGTGTTGTGTCACGTGTCCATGTTTGTGTTTCTTAGTAGGCATACATGCAGTAGAATTAAGAAGCATCGGTCAACAAAAGTGAGAGAATGCAGAACAAATATATGAGATATGTTTTTGATCTTAATGCATGACCTATTAATGAGAAAAACTTTCTACAAAAGAAATGAATATCCACTCTCAGTGTTAACAATGATATTGCTTTATTTAGTTATGTTTTCGATATTTGTTTTTACTTGGAATTTTCTGATGGCTATCATGGAAGTTCCTTTCTTTAAGGTCATTGATCATGTTTTTACTTGATCTCCTTTAAATGTCTGTATGGTTTTAAGTAATGCTTCGTGCCTTCAATAACATGCATCTGTAAATGCTATTTTTTTATTATCTTTTAGCTCCAAATCATAGAGGGTGGCTTTATTATTGTCTTTGTATTTCTCTTGTTGATATTACTGAAAATTATTAGAGCAAATCAGGTAACAGGGCTGTATCCAGTAGGTGGAACCACATACTTTGGCGATACTGCCCCTTTCAAGTGAGTTCGCACACAAAAATGATCTTTTCTGCAAGGTCTGATTTTCAAGTGAGATTACAAAACTAAATGCACACAATTCAAGAAGATCAATGGAAGGAAGGAATTGGATAAGTATATCCATTGGATGGGACGACAACATAAAGTTCCTGAAAGTTCCTGCGATTTTTTATTAGTTGCACAAAACATGGAGTTAAGTAGAATTAATGTCTTTTTGTATTTGTTGTCAGCAATTACTCAATTAAACTGTATATGACAGATTTGTATATGAGTAATTTTGTATAAAAAAAATGTCCACGAAACTTCATAAACAGGGATTCACCAATTGGTGTTCTCCCTTTATATACTAGTATTTAGTATAGATATAATGAGGTATTGTTTGTACCCTTTTTGGTCTGAGGAGTGCAAACAGGTATCAAGGAATTATGAAATGGAATTGTCTGCCTTAAGTAATTCTGGTTATCTTCCCTGGCATTGACATATTATTTTGGTCTTGCAGCCATCCAAATTGTGAGACAAGGAAGTGGATAGTTTTGGGGGAAATAAGGGTTGGTATATTTGTGGAGCAAGATATTTCCGTTGAAACTGAATTGGCGTGTGATTATAATGTTGAATGGCATGGTGGTGCTAAGGTTCGATGTCAGCGTTGGGCACCTAACCGTTCTAAATTTCTCGAGGCAAAGTCTCCTACTTTTCTGGTGAGTTCAAAGTGATAACTTTTGAAGTCTATATTTGAAGATACATTAACATCTCATTTGACATTCATTCTCCTGATGGAACTTGAGTGATGAGAAAAAAAGAAAAAAAAAAACTGAAAATGAATTTATGCAAACTATTAAAAGGCAGCTGTTTATACTAAAGGCAGCTATTTTGTATATTCGTTTATTCACCTCATCTCGCAGTAAACTCATTGTCCTTTTTTTTTTATAATGTTTTTCCATTTCTTTAACAGGTGCATAATCATGTGTTGGAAGACGACGATGAAAGGTAACGGGTTATGCATTTATTACTCAAAATTTATAGGCAGTTATAGATAGTTATATCATTTGAAAATACAAGAATTGAGATTTAGAAATTATATTCAATGTCCCTCTGCCCTTTTCCTCAATAGTTATATTATTTTTAGTATTTGAGTCGACCAATCATCGAATGAACAAACTATAGAATTTGAAATACATGTAAAAAACTCGAACATACTAAACTTAGCAAAGGTTTTGTCACTGAGTTAAGTATAAGAACCTGATACACACATTTGTAGCTATGAGGATTATAATTCAGAAATGTTGAGAACACTTTTGTACCAGAATTTAAGTATGCTAATTGATTGTCTATGAGTGTGGAAGATTTTGTTCTATACTTTTCTAGCTGGGAAAAAAAAAGTTTGTTTCATGTCATAATTACTACAAATTTGTGACCATTAACTTGTACTTGCAAAGATTCAGACACAGCAATGACATGGAAAACTGGCTTTTACATCCCATGAGGGAGAGCAACCTGCAATTATTTGCCCTTGTTTCTATATGGATCTCAAGAAAAGTAGGTGATCATACTTTGTTTATCATAAGCTTTCATCATTAGGGTGTAGTCTTGTATTTCTTACTAAATTAATGGGCTGCAAATGCATGATTCTCATCCCCTATCTGTAAAATGTTTGAAATCTTTGGGAGACGAGATGATTAAGGAGCAACATTTTACAATTCGTGATTTCTTGGAATCAGTAAGCTAAATTTCTGTAACTCCTTTAAAAAAAACTTCATCTCTATATTTTCCATTGTTGTGGTTAATGAAGATATTCTGCAGGAGGTGGTCCTAATGCAGGTAAATCCCATAGAACTATGGTGGATGGTTGCATTTGTCAGCTTCAACTGAGATGTTTTTCTACTCTTTCTCTTCTTCTTGAAAGGTATTGGATTTTGAGATTGGTACATCTAATATTGCTTTTAAATTCCTCGAGGAGCTTTTCATTCAGTTTAAGTGAATTTTTTTTTTTTGGGTGTCATCATTATAAAATATGTTGGCAATCGTAAGGTTAGAGTTTAGACCAGTTTACTGTTTATTCTAATGGGTCACGAATTCTGTCTTATATGAATTTAGGGGAATTGCAACGGTTGGGAAACTTGTAAACTTTGAAGCATGCACGGATATCATGGACCTTCTCTATGAAAAGGATCAAACATCAGCACTTTATAATTCTCCCAAATATCTTATTGCATTAATACTAGCATGTGCATTTACATTTCTTATTTCTAATTTACTAATTCAGAAATTTTGCACCTGCTATGTCTTTTTACTTTGTAATAGTTTTGGATCTTTTGCAGGTTGCTTCATATGTTATCACAGTTCCAAAATAGAGATGGGAGTTTCCTGTTCTTCCTTGGGGTAATATTTCTGTACTCGAAATTTCTCCGGTCGCCTCTTCTATTTGATCTACAGTTATCATTTTGTGTTTCTATGGTTATGCCAAAAAAATAAGATGTCATGCACAGTCAGAAACACTAATACCAATTATTATGTGCCATTTTATTCTGATTAGAAAACTACTAACCACCAACTAAATCTGTATTACAGAAAAGTGATTTACTTGAGGTTTTTGTATAGCTTAGATTTTTCACAATTGTGTTTATACAGTTGTTTTAGACTAATAGTCATCAATAGATTACTCATTTGGTTTATCATTCTGTAGCCAGCTTCACCTACCACCCTTGGAAAGGAAATTGCAATTCTTGCTGTCAGATTAAGCAGGGAAAGACGGAATATTTCTCAAGTTGAGATAATGGGGAAGTTTGCTGGTGCAGTTAGAAATTACAATGCACATCTTGTTGCATACCCTGATATTAAATGGCATCAAATTGCAGAGGAGTTCGTGAAATCTCTTGGATTAAGTTTCAATCCCTATGTGACTCAGGTGTGTTCCATTCACAAGATTTCTTCTCGCTTAAGTTTTATTAGGTTTCTCCGTAATTCTTCACAGACCAGAGTAATTTTTTGAAGTTTTATCAGCAAGTTCTAAGTTAACAATCAGTAACCACATTTTGATGGATCCTTTTGATATGCTATCTGTTGGCTCGTAGAGACCTATCATGCACTACACGGCTGCTCTATGTACAAAGCTAGAGAAGTCGGTAGTCTTTATTACCAATTAGTTACTCATTAGTGAACTTTCTTCCGAATTTTTATCCTGTCCTTGCTCCTTATTGTTTTTATCTAACAACTAATTCATCCATATTAAACTGTGATAGAGGACATCACTTATATGTGTTCCTTGAAAATTTGGAATTCGGTTCATTATCTTCTAGCTAATGCTTTCAGAGTTTAACCATGTTCTGCAAGTTAGTTGCTGCTCCAGATTATCAATGTGATAATTTGAACCACTATTCTAAAAATCTTTTTAAAAACAGAATGATTTTTGAATGGAACTTACAGAGGGCTTATGATGCAAGCATATTCATGCATATTTACCTGATCTAATTTAATACAATTTGAACATGTTATGCAGATCGAAACTCATGACTATATGGCAAAACTTTTCCATGCAATTATCCAGTTTAACATCGTAATTGATTTTGATAGGGACATGTGGGGCTACGTATCTTTAGGTTACTTCAAGCAGGTGAACTTTCTGATATATTTGTGAATATGTTGCTACTGGTTTTCCTCTGCTAGAGCTTATGTTTTTTCAAGTTCAAATGTCAAGCAGATAACTAAGGCTGGTGAGATTGGGTTCTCGACTATGCCTCATAAAGTAAATCCCATTGATTTTGAAAGTAGTGAGGGCAATCTTGGGAAAGCTAATGGAGGTCTATCCCATTTAAGCATAAAATTACCTATTTCTTGTTGGCAGGTAGAACTCTCTTTCTCTCTCTCTCTCTCTCTCTCTCTCTCTCTGACTTCTTTGTAAAGATATATGAAAGCTCCTTTTTATGTAAACATTGATTGGTAGTTTTTAGGCACTAAAAGTTCAGAATGTAAGATTATGTCACTGGGCAATTATGATTTTCTTTGCAGAATGTAATAGTTTTGGTCATCTAATTTAGTGGTGATAGAGTGAGACATGCTAGAAAACATACTCAGCCAAATATAGTTTTTTTTTAATATTATATATTTTATAAAATTTAAAAGCATACTCAGCCAAAGGGATTTGTTTGGGCACAAATGAAACTGCTGCCTATAGGTAAATGTTACAGTTACTTTTCTCTGTGGACTAGGTAAATGTTACAGTTACTTTTCATGGGTTGGAATTAGGTGCATGCATGTTATTTTGTAGATAATAAAAGTAAATGGTGATTTTTGTGGGGGTTAATAAAAGTAAATGGTCATTGGCTAATAAAAGAATGCTGATTAAAGTTTGAAGGATATTTTGTGGGGCTTTTTTCACTCCTGTCCAAGCCATGGAAGAGACTACCATGTTTTTTCACTCCTGTTCATGAACTTCTTTAATTAGCTCATTGCTGAGGTCTTGAAAGTATATAACTCAATGATTTTTTCCTTGTGTTGATTACAGGACAACTTGCTCGGGAAGTTTACGAGAACATTAGGAGAGGCTTCTTGTTTGAGAATTCAGAGAGATTTTTGTATGCATCTTGCTAGGAAAGCTTATAAAGAATTGTGCTCCTCTGCTGTTTCTATTCAGGCTAGCATGCGTGGAATGGTTGCACGTGATGGGCATCGCTTCAGAAGGCAGATTGCTTTTTATGGAAAGCTTTCATTGTTGTATTCTCTTAGACTACTTGACTACATGAATTGTGCATTTGGATGTATTAGTAGGAACTCCAATAATTTCTTTTTACACTAGCTTCTGTTCAACTAATTTCTTTAAAATTACCATACTATAAGCATTTATAATAATGTTTTTCTTTTGCAGAGTAGTTTGAAAATTGTCTCAGAATCTCTGAATACTTCTTGATGGGTTTAAAATTAGCACAATTTCAAAAACAAAAAAAAAACAAAAAAGGATATCACGACATTTTTCAAAACGACACTTAAACCCTAAATCTAACGGTCATATGTTTTTAAATAGATACGATGGCGTTTTAAAAACGTCGCTAAATATCACAATGACGTCATGGTACTGTTATTTAGGACATTTGGCGGCGTTTTTAAAAACGTCGCCTATACTGATATTACGACGTTTTTAAAACGCCACAAAGCTATAGCGACGGCTGCGTCCTCGACGTTTGGTGCTAAGCGTCGCAAAAGAAATTTGTGGCGTTTTTGACACTTATAGCGGCGTTTTAAACGCCACTAAAAGTCTGTTTTCCAGCAGTGCGTTTGGAAAACTTAATTTTAATTAAAAAAAATCATTAAAGTCATTCAAAAAGTTGAAATGTAAAAAAAAAAATATTAATTCATAAAAAAAAATGAAAGATTCAATTTCACTCTCTACTTTTTATATATTTTTTTCATAAAATAGTAAAAAAATTCTTTCCAAACATAATGATTTTTTTAATTTCATATTTTAACCAAAAACCTACTTTCCAAACAAGCTTTAGAAGATTTAAATGAATACACATCTTGAGCATTTGCCCAAGTAATCATGAAGATGTCACTTAAGAGCACTTTTGGTACGATAGAATGTAATGCTCATTTTAATTTTATATTCCTTTTCTTTTGTTTGGTACGCCTTATTTAAGTGAGAATAGTCATTCTATTGGAATGACTAGTCCAACAAAATATGAGAATGCCTATTTCTTCCTTCAACTTAAAGAATGACCATTTCATTCTATCATGTAATTACCATTAAAATTTATTCAGCTTGCTTGGTTCTATTTTTCCAAAAACATTTTTCAAAAAATTTTACTTTCTTATTTTCAGTATTTTTTTGTTTTTACTGAATTTTTTATTATTTTAAGCAATTTTTTTTTACTTCTTAGACACACCTAACATAAATACACCTAAAAAGTAAAAAAATTGTAAAAAAAATCTTTTAAAAATTCACTAAATACCAAAAATATAAAAAAAAATACAAGAATTTTGTACATTTTTTTTATTTTTATGTATTTATTAATTTTTTAATTGTGTTGTTCAGAATAAACTTCTCGGGTGATTCTTTATCGACACTTATCTATTTTGACTGTAAGTATTCTCTATGAGTCTTAGATTTATAATGAGTGTTAGATTTATAATCGCAACAATTATTTTGTGTTGTATTTTTTTTTTGTAATACTGTTAATAATACTTTCTACAAAAAATTTATAGAAAATGAAATGTTTCATTGTGTTATCAAGTTAAAAAAAAAAAAATTAATTCAGCTTGCTTTTTTTCATTTTTCAGAAAACACTTTTCAGAAAATTCTACATTCTTATTTTTCGTGTTTTTTTTGTTTTTACTGAATTTTTTAAATATTTTAAGCAATTTTTTTACTTCTTAGACACACCTAACATAAATACACCTAAAAAGTAAAAAAAATTGTAAAAAAAATCTTTTAAAAATTCACTACATACCAAAAATATAAAAAAAAAATACAAGAATTTTGTACATTTTTTTTATATTTTTATGTATTTATTAATTTTTTAAAACATTTTTTCACATTTTTTTTTTTTTTACTTTTTAGATACATCTAAGTAAGGTACATCTAAAAAAAATGTTTAAAATTTTAAAAATATTCACTAAAAACAAAAAAAACACGAAAACTAAAAAACTCAATTTTCAAAAAACTTAATCCAGAAAACTCAAACCAAACACACTGATTATTATTATTTTTGTTGGCACTTAAAAAAAATATTATTATTTAAGTACTACCACCACTCTGTTCTACTACTACCTTACTGCCACTGCCACCATCGCCGCTGTTAGACTTATTTATTTTGATGATTTATTTGGAAGAGAAAAATATAATCAAAATTTATTTTGATGATTTATTTGAAAGAGAAAAATATAATCAAAATTTATTTTGATGATTTATTTATTTTGATAATTTATTTGAAAGAGAAAAATATGATCAAAATTTATTTTGATGATTTATTTGAAAGAAAAAAATATAATCAAAATTTATTTTGATGATTTATTTATTTTGATAATTTATTTGAAAGAGAAAAATATGACGATCAAAATTTATTTTGATGATTTATTTGAAAGAGAAAAATATAATCAAAATTTATTTTGATGATTTATTTATTTTGATAATTTATTTGAAAGAGAAAAATATAATCAAAATTTATTTTGATGATTTATTTGAAAGAGAAAAATAGAACCAACATTAATTTTGATGATTTTATGTTTTAATAAAATCAAAATTTATTTTATCTCATTATTTCTCGCCTAAATCTTTATCCTAAATGTTGTTAGAATGTATTTAATATTTGATTAAATCAAGAGTTCAAATAGCCCAAAACAAAGGTTCAAACAGCCAAGCACAGCAGCAGGCCAAAAGGTTCAAGTGAAAGATATTCAAATTTGTAATGATGGAGACGAAGAAATTCAAATTAGTAATGATGGAGTACAACGGCTATAAACGGCTATAATTTTCATTACATATACCAAAGCCTCTAATGTAAACAAGTTACAAAAACCTGAAAATATTCTTTGATCTATAATCACTCACATCTATTCTCAGAAAATATACACTGAGCCTTATAGCTTTAAGCCCATCTTTCTTGTGGTGTGAGGTTTACAGAAAAATCAGAGTTTCATTTTTATATCTATCTTTGAGAGATAATTCTTGTAGCTTTCTGTGAAAGCAAAAACACATTCTTTTCAACCTTGTAAGAGTGTAGTACACTCAGTGTTCTTGACTTAGAAAGTCAATGTAAAATCTGTGGAGGATTGCTCCATCTATGAAAAGGTTGCTAGCACCTTGTGAAGCTAGAGTATAGTGGAAAATCTGAAGTGAAGCTTGAGGAGTGGACGTAGTCCGAGTTGAAGCCGAACCACTATAAATTTGTTTGCTTCTCTCTCCCTTATCTCTTTATTTTATTTTATATTACCATAACTATATTTCACATTTTTACTGTGCTAAAATCATTAACTAACATAATTGTTAAGACACTTGTTTTAATTATTTTTATTTCATTAATTATATTTATCTATTGTGCTAGTCATAATTTTTATTAGGGTATTATTAATTTTAATTATAATAACCTAATTCACCCCTCTCTTAGGTTGTCTTTTGGGTAACAATTGGTATCAGAGCCTAGACTATTGTTTTAGATTTAACCATCTAGGAGTTTCGATCCATGGAAACCTTAGCTGAAGGACAAGCCACAAATAGGCCACCATTGTTTGACGGAAACAACTATAGTCATTGGAAGGATAAGATGACCTTATACCTACAAGCCATTGATTATGCCATGTGGATCATTGTCACCAAAGGTCCAAAAATTCCTACCAAATTAGTAAACAATATTAGTGTACCTAAAACTGAAGATGAATGTGATGAGAGAGATAAATTATTGCAAGCCAATGCTAAAGCCAAACTCACCCTTATTTATGGATTAGACTCTAAAGAGTATAATAGAATTTCAAGTTGTGATTCGGCAAAAGAAATTTGGAACAAACTTGAGATAACGTATGAAGGTACAAATCAAGTGAAGGAATCTCGTATTGATATGCTTGTTCATAGTTATGAATTGTTTAAAATGAACTCTGATGAATCTATTTCAAATATGTTTATTAGATTTATTGAAATTGTAAACTCTTTGAAATCTCTTGGCAAAACTTATACTAACAGTGAGTTGGTAAGAAAAATTCTTAGGTGTTTACCAAAGAATTGGAATGCAAAGGTCACGGCCATTATAGAAGCCAAAAATCTCTCCACACTTGGATTGGATGAGCTTATGGGTTCCCTTATGACTCATGAGATCACCATTAAAGGACATGAGGATGTTGAAAACAAAAAGAAAAATGGAATTGCATTCAAAGCCTCATCAAATGAAGAAGAACATGAAAGCTCCAGTGAGGATGAAAGCTATGCCATGTTTAGTAGAAATCTCAAAAAGCACTTCAAGAAAAACAATTATGGAGAAAGAAGACATTTCAAGAAAGAGTGCAACAAAGATAACAAGAAAGATCCTATAATTTGCTATGAGTGCAAAAATCATGGACATATGGAGATGGATTGTCCAAAATTGAAGAATCATGGAAAAGACTACAAAAGAAACAAAAAGGCCATGGTAGCAACTTGGGAAGAAAGTGAAGATGAAAGCTCAAGTGATGAAATTAAAAATGAAGTAGCCAACTTATGTCTCATGGCTCTTGAAGATGAAGACTCTACTCAAGATGATGTAACTACTCTTTATGAAGAACTTGAAAGTGCATTCTATGAACTATTAAATGAATTTAGAAAAGTTTGTGCAAAAAATAATGTGTTGAAGAAATCTGTTGCATCTTTATCTATTAATGTAGAAGAATTAAAGAAAGAAAAAATTATTTTGAAAAATGATTTTGATACTATCTCTAACGAGAAAACTACTTTAAAAAACAATGTTGATAATTTAACAAAAACACTTGAAAATTTTGTAAAAGGTAGAGATAATCTCAACATGCTTCTTGAAAATCAAAGATAAGGACCCAAGAAACTATGGGTACCAAAAATCAACACTTGATTGTTATCTTGTAGGTTTGCTTTAAGTCTAAAGCTAAAGAAGGGAAGTGGTACTTTGATAGTGGATGTTCTAGACACATGACCGGAAATAAATCATTCTTTACTAAACTATCATCGAAAGATGGAGGATTTATTACATTTGGAGACAACAAGAAAGGAAAAATCATCGGTATTGGTAGTATCGGTATTTCTCCTAACCTTTCTATTGAAAATGTTTTACTTGTTAATGGACTTAAGCATAACCTACTTAGTATTAGTCAATTATGTGATAAAGGTAATCGAGTTATTTGTGATAAATCACATTGCACA